CAGGTACCGGAACTTCGCGAGAAACTGGAAAATTCAGATGCTAAAACACTATTCGCCGAAGCAACTAACGATATATTCTGGGGAACCGGACTATATCCAGATGCTACCCTCCATACGAATCCGGAAAAATGGCCGGGCGAAAACCGGCTAGGAGAGATTCTGGGTAGGATAACATCAAAACTTACAAAAAGACTCAGAAGTACCTCACTTCCGAAAAATAAGAACCCAGACGAAAATCAGACAAATCTGGACGGCTTCATTCGGGAGGCCAGGAGAAACTCAAACAGGAAGAGAAATGTAAAGGACCAGGGGTAATTTAGCAAATATAGCTTTATGTAAATGAGTACAAACTTACTAACTTTCTATTCTATAAACGCGCGTGGTTTAAATACTTATAGTAAAAGAATTTTGTTGTTTGAATGGATTAAAGATGCAAAATTTGATATAATCTTCTTGCAAGAAACACATTTTATTGAAGCAAATGAAGTAATTTATAATTCACGTTGGTTTGGGTATAAAATTCATAGTTTTTCTGACTCGGTATACAGTAGAGGTGTATCTATTTTGTTTAAAGAAAATCTTGATATCGAAATACTAGATAAGTATTCTTCGATTGACGGTAGAAAATTATTGGTAAATGTTAAATTATCTGAACAAATTTTAAGTTTGGCCAATTTTTATGTGCCAAATAAAGAAAATGACAAAATTATATTTTTAAATAAAATGTTGAAATGGGTCAATAAATATGCTAAAAGTTTGGATAACTTAATAGTTTGTGGAGATTTTAACTGTCAGATAGATATCATCGAAAATAATAGAAATGTAAAGGCTCTTAGAAACTTTGTGAAATCATTAAATTTGATCGACTGTTGGTCCTTTAGTGATAAAAATAACGAACAGGGGTACACGTGGTGTGATGGGGAAAATAATCCAAAATCTAGAATTGACTACGTATTTACGTCAGAAAGTTTCTGCTATAGATTTAATCAAATTTTATTAAGAAAAGCTCCTAATTATGACGGGACAAGATTTAGTGACCATTTAGGTTTATACTTTGATTTTTGTACCGCAGAAAATATTAGAGGGAGTGGTTATTGGAAAATGAATACGTCACTTCTCAACAAAGAAAAATTTTGCAATGAAATGAGAAACTTTATTAAACAAGAAATATCTAGAATTCATGATCCTGATCCGGCTCCTAAATGGGAATGCTTGAAAAAAATCAATTAAAAATTTCACAATAGCCTATTCTAAAGAAAATGCTGTATCCAAAAGAAAGCGAATTGATTTCATTGAGAATCAAATTAAAATATTGGAAAATAAACCCTACTCGCATATAAATATGAGATATAAAAGACAGCTTGAAAATGAAATTGATGAATTATATGCACAAAAATGTAAAGGGGCTTACATAAGATCAAGAGCTATCTGGATGGAAAAGGGCGAAAAAAGTACTGCATATTTCTTAAATTTAGAAAAAAAGCAACAGGGCGACAATACGATTAATAAAGTTACTAATGACGACGATATTGTCTTTATGGAAAATGGAGATATTATGAAAGCTTTAGTCGATTTTTATAATGCATTATATGAGAGTAGAAAAATCTGTGATCAAGATATTGAAAAATACCTTGAAAATATTGAATGTCCTAAAGTTAGTGAAAATGATAGAAATAACTGCGATAAATTACCGACCATGTCTGAGTGTAAGGAAGCCATTCATCATATGAAAAATAACAAATCTCCTGGTTCTGATGGACTTCCAGCAGAATTTTATAAAATATTTTGGAATGATATTAAAGATATATATTTCTCATGTTTAATCAAAAGTATTGAGATCGGAATTCTACCATTCTCACAACGAGACGCAATACTCTCCCTTATTTACAAAAAAGGTGAAAAAGATAAATTAAAAAATTACAGACCTATAAGTCTCACAAATGTGGACTATAAAATTTTTGCACAGATTTTAGCTTTACGATTACAGCCTGTTGCTAAAAAAATCATAGGAAAAGAACAAAGTGCATATATCAAAGGAAGATACATTGGAGAAAATGCGAGACTGATACTTGATATATACGAGTACTGTATGAATCACGATCTTGATGGCATATTGTTATTCTTAGATTTCGAAAAAGCATTTGACTCTGTTGAGTATAACTTCATTTTTAAAACATTACGAAAATTCAACTTTGGAGAAGACTTCATTGATATGATCAAAACTCTTTATAATAATCCTACGTTCAAAATTAAAAATAACGGCTGGATTTCAAAATCTTGCTCAATGAAAAGGGGAATACGTCAAGGATGTCCGGTATCTGCGCTTCTCTTTATTTTCGTATTAGAAATACTTGCTATCCAAATTAGAAATAATGAAAATATACATGGCCTATCATTTAATGAGAATGCCTCAAAAAATATTAAGATAGTCCAACATGCTGATGACTGCACAAATGCCTTAAAAGACACCAATTCATTGGCAACTACTCTTAATATTATTCACCATTTTAGTAAAGTTGCTGGTCCGAAACTTAACTTATCTAAAACTGAATGTATCTTAACTGGTTCCTTAATTGATGAGTATTGCAATAATAACGACCTATACGGTGTAAAAATTGCAACTGAAAGTGTTAAATCTCTTGGAATATATTTAGGTCATAATAAAGACGTGTGTTATGAAAAAAATTGGCTAAGTAAACTTGAAAAACTTGAAAAAATCTTAAGTGTTTGGCGAAAACGCAACTTAACAATATTTGGAAAATGTACAATAATAAATACTTTAGCGGTATCAAAGCTTGTTTACAATGCGTTTATTTTACCTAATCCAGATAAAGAATTCTTTAAAAGAGCTTCAAAAATCATTTTTAACTTTCTGTGGAAAAAGAGAGAGAGGATTAAACGAAATACATTGATTGGTAAAATTGAACAAGGAGGAATAGGAATCGTTGATATTGAAAGTAAATTTTCTGCTGCGAAAGCTTCGTGGGTAAGAAGAATATTGGATAAAGATACAATCACACACTTTACTTTAAATAGTTTATTGGAAAATAGTAATTTATCTATAAATGATATCATTAAAACAACGAGTTGCAATTTGAATGATAAAAAATTCTGGGAATTGACTAATTTCCCACAGTTTTATGTGGAAGTATTTTCAATGTTTAATAAGTGCAAAAAAATAAAACAAAACAACAAAATTCTGAAGGAAGAATTTTTATCCCAATTTATCTGGCACAATAATTTATTCCGATATGATTCTAAAACATTATGTTTTGAACAATGGATCAAGAGTGGTATATTTTATGTAAAAGATCTTTTTGATGAAAACGGTGAAATACATGCAATAGATTACTTTTGGGATAAATTAAAATGTAAAAACAATATTTACTGTGAATATATTATGCTAAAAAAGACATTAAGACCTTTTAAATCAAGGCTTGATTGTTCCTATGCCAATTATATTAACATTCATAATAATGACTCGTTTTTGTTTAGAAACAATTGTTTTAAATCGATCAAATCTCTAAAAAGTGATTTTTATTATTCGGTCTTAGTTCAATCCATATTTCAGAATTCAATATATGAGAGTAAGTGGAATAAGTATTTCAACATAGAAGATAAATCATTATGGAAGAATATATACATTTCAAAAATTTGTAATATGTATGACAAAAAGATTGCAGAATTCAATTACAAACTGATTAACTGTCTGTTAAATACTAATATAAGTGTAAGTAAATGGAATAAAGATGTATCACCAATGTGTGAGTTATGTAATGTATCAGAAGATAGTGAACATCTTTTATTTTCTTGTACAATTACAACATATTTGTGGAGGAAAATTAGTATATTTTTAAAATTTAATGTTTCATGGAAACGTATTATGTTGGGATTTTTTGGTGATTTATCAGAGAAAACATGTATTTTGAATAATCTTATCTCATTTATTTGTTTTACAATCTATAAATATAAAATGAAGAGTCGATTCAATAATGAAAGAATGTCAGAAGAAAATTTGAAATCTTATGTTAAAAATTGGCTTGTTTTACAAAATTCTATTGTGAAAAAAACTGGTAAAATAAGAAACAACATGTACAATGACTTAGCAAATTGTTTATGAAAAAAAATTATGGTGTAGACAAGGACATATCCAACACACGAAGAAACCAGTCTTCATGTGTGGTAGCTAGGGGTCCTCATTATGGACAGTGCTGGTGTTGAATAGGACTCCCTTTGCTACCTGGATTCAATATTTATTTATTTCTCCCTATATATTATACATTCTATGTTTATACGCTCTTAGAATAATTGCATTAAATTGAACAGATAAATTTGTGAATGTTATAAAAGAAAACAAAATGCTTGTTATATACCTATGATACGTATGATATATTTATATATTTTTCTTTTCTTCTCTATAGAAGTAATATAACTGCTGAACAGATAAATTTGTGAATGTTATAAAAGAAAACAAAATGCTTGTTATATACCTATGACACGTATGATATATTTATATATTTTTTTTTCTTTTCTTCTCTATAGAAGTAATATAACTACTCTGATATGAACATAAAAAGCATTAATTGTGATGTATGTTACAATTTATTTCCACTATGTTGTATATTGCATATGCTTTTAATAAAAGAAAAAAAAAATGAAAAATATTCATTTTGCTGCAACATTTCTCATACATGTGAGGTTCATATACCAACATATTCAAAAGAACGATAACTCCAAGATCTTTAAGTTTTTATGGCAATCACTGATACGACTCACTTTCCTTGAATATGCGCATGTTTTGTTATCATTATTAATTAAGCATGAATTTTTGTCACAAATTTCAAACTAAACCATCGCCGAAACATGACTGAAATATTGCCGAATCGGTGTTAAACAATAAAAAAAAGAACAATCATTCAATATATTAAACCATTTTTCAAACACAGTCTTAGGGATGTCAGTTTCCTCTTCTTATCTGTGTAATACTTCGACTCGTCTAACTAGCCAGAAACATTTTAACAAAACCATGTTTTTTTTAAAAATTAGTATGTTGTCGTTGCGATAGATATTCCTTGATACGGGGCATGTTGGCCACTTTGGCACGGCATTTCGTAATTCCCGAACATTTGTCCAACGCATTGCCATTTGTTGCCAAAATGTTTTCAAATGCTTCAAAGATCATGATGTCGGCTAAAGTCAACTGAAATGTAAAAAAATTCAGTAACAAAAAATTTTCATTGCTATTCAGCTTAATTTATGTAAATCAGTAATAAGGATAGGTGTATGTTACAAAAGATACATATAGTGTACTACCCGATTTCCAACAGCAAAACCTTTGCCCTCTTTCATATTCTTTTGTATCTGTGATTCAATGAAGGTACAAGCTTTTACCATAAACTCCTGGAAGGATTTCATTACTTGCCTTGCCCATTCCTGTTTCCTCTGAAAATAAAAAAAAATGTAATTCAAAGACGGTTACCATCTTACAGTATAGATATATAATTCAAAGAATGCATCAAAGAACTAATGAACAAATGGATGTACAAATGAAGTGCTTCTAGCACTTGTCTATTTAGACTTAGTACCAATCTTAACATCGAGATATTTTGAGCTGAAAACCTATATTTTAATATTGGTGTACTTTGGGTTTTATTTGAATTGTTCTGTCAATTAATTGATGTCACAGATCATCCGGAACACCTCGGGCCTTTCACAGAAAAACGAAATGCCTGAGGTGTTCTGGATGGTCGCAGATCAGATAGATGTTACTATAAATACCACAAAGCCTGTGAGGACAGACGTACTGGATCTTCACTCAACATAGGAAGTTCCGCCATTTTATTTTTCATTTCTACCAGATATTCTACTATTTCATCAACTTTTACTTTTTGTGACAAAGTTTCTCCGTCTAAACCTTAAAAAAAAAATAATATATTATTAGCACAAGCCAAAATTCACTAAAATACTTATAATGAAATATTAAGGGTTCTTTTCTTTATATGAAATCATTATCATTTTTAAGAAAGCACTTTTTATATTCTTTTACGTTTGCGATTTGATTCCCAATTTATGAAAAGTACTCACCAAATGTTCGTGCTAGATGTCTGTTTATTGCCATACTTTGTGAAATGATAAAGCCATCGACACACAAAACAGGTAACGCATTTCCTGGTGTTTCTGAAAGACAAATTCAGATGAATGCATTAAATCGTTTACTCCATTAAAAAAGCTGTAGTTTTAATTAGTAAAAATAGAGTTGTCCAAATGAAATGAAACTTGCACAAAAAATATTACTTAAAGCATATTGTTTTCTCTAGAATATGCATTTATAATCATTATTATAAATCTCTGCATATGGGTTGGAAGCCTAAATAAGAAGAGTACCTCGTTTGCTTTCTAAGGACAGATAGAATACCCTATGATCTTACCGTCTTTGATAGCTATCCATTGTTCCTTTCTGATCCTTTCGTCTTCAAAAGAGACGCCCGCCACTGTAAACAAAAGCCTGATGGGCTCTGCCCGTCCTCTTAGATCAAAATATGTCAGCTTGTATTTCGGCATTTTGCCTCCATCCAATGTTAAAAAGTTAATTTGAAAAATATTTCTAAATTCAAAACCAAATTAAATATAATGATATGCTCGACACTTTTAAATATTTTAACTTACGGGACCTAAAGAAATATTTTGACTAATCATTCACTGTGTTTGACGAAAACAATGTATACGGATTATTCGTGGTGTACCTTTAAAGATCATAAGAATGAACAAAGCAGGATAAAATCTCGAGGTTCACTTTTCATAAACTTCTTTAAGTCAGACAATTAACCTTACCCTAACGGGGCTTTAAATAAAAGACAATAGAAACTTCATATAAACTTTTACTAATCACGATGCGTTATATGCAACCAGAAATTGTCTTATATATCTTTCACAAGTCAAGCAATGGTTGCTAGGAATGTAAAATAAAGAGCATATTAAACATAACAAAAAAAAAATAATTCTTTAACTTTACCTCAAAAGTATTTTACACGATTATGAAGCCAATTTTCGGTAAAATTATCTCTTGACTCTTCCTTCTACTTGCAAGATAAAAAGTGTTAAAATATTCTGATTGTACACACAGATACTCTGATGTTGATATAAAATAGATGCCTGAGTTTCTGATTGACAATATTTCTAAAGGTTGTCTTTGGAGACCAGGTCTTCCAACAACCTGTCGAAAGCACGTCTGGGTGTCGAACGTACAAAAAAATAATTATTTACACGCAAGTTACATTTTTAATGGAAAGTCTTATTATATATTGAGTATATTTATTTTTACACGATATTTTACATACAGGATGCAACATACTGCATGTGTCTTAGTTAACATGCAACTTATTTGACAAAAGGCCGGTTAATCTATCCGTCATAAAAAAATTATAAGCAATGTGACAATTCACTATGCGACTTACTGTGTTAAAATGAAATGCGAATTAAGTCGACTAAAATGAATTGCATGGTTATTTTGTTGACATAAATGTCTCATGAAATCAGAAGTATGTAGGATATTGACGGGATATTTAATTTCAACAAAATTGTTATTTGTAAAAATAAGAATGGCAAATCAAGGCATAAATAAATCAAATACCAATAAGAATAAGTTCAACTTCTATGTATTGTGTCAGATACTGGGGTTCGTTTCTAAAATCTACGAAATTAGATTTTCAGGTTATCTATTGGTAACTTGAATGTTGAATCATTATCTTTAATAATGACAAGCACGTCTGTCGCATGTTGGCATTTTTGGGGGCTGACATGTGGCACCATATCCTGAAAATTAACCCCCCTTTTTCGTATACGTTTTCACCGTTTTGATTGATCAGTTCAGAATTACCTTTCTTTCTCATCAACTTCCTTGACATTGTCTTGTGGTCTTTTCAGTTAGAATATATTTTTTTATTCTTGTTTAGTGATACATTCATAATTTTTCAAATAGAATTATCTACGGATTTTCTTTAATAGAGCAATGTAGTTTTTGAACTTAATTTTCTTTTCCCAGTATAATTTGAGTTTCAAAAATTGGATGATCTTGATATGATTTTATGAAGCCTGGTAATGCCGCACACCACTTCGGAATCAAACTTTTATGAAACAGTAGATAAAAATATATGTTTGTTCACTTTCTTTGAAAAAACAAAGATTTTCTTTATAATTTTTTATGATATCTAAAAACTACTGGAAATGTATGCTGACATATGATGGAACAATGAATATAAATGAACAATATCTTCAGCCATCATGTTAAGGAGCACACAGGGAATATAATCGGTCGATAGAGAATCATTTCTTCTCCATGACAGATGACCCCACCACTGATGATTTTAGAGGTCTGTGTTTGATCTGCTCCCAACTTGTATTGTTTAAATAACTTAATCGGAGCTTGTTAATTTTCATTTATCTTCATATTTCATACACAATTTTCCAATGAAATAAATGTAGTCTGAAAATTTTATATGTAAAGTTTGAACGCAACAAAGAATTTGTTAAATAATGTTTTGACAATACGGCAGTGCATCAAATAAGCGCGGTTAAAGACAGGAAGGACAAAGAACTCAACTTGTAAAAATAAGTAACCTGAGTACATTGACGGAGTCGAATTTACCAGATAAGCCTCTCTTAAACCAAAATACATTTTCAAGGTGTTTACAAAACGAAGGTGTTTTATGTGTGTACTTTTTCTGTGTTCTGTTGTCCTCCTTTCTAGATGTACGGATACCTGAACCTATTGAGGAGAAGATCAGCATCAGGATCATGGAGGGATGTATGAAAGGCCTCGGCCAATTTGTAAGTTGAATTTATTGTTTATTTCATTCATCCTTGTTTGCTTAATTTGAATATTAGAGCTATTCTAATACCGAACTTTCCCGTCTATTTGACCTTGTTCGCATCAACATATACCTACTTGTTTGAAAGTTTATCAGTTCATTGATTGATGCATCTATTACAAAAGGAAAAGGAATAAATAAATATATACCCTTTACCTTCTATTGTGAAAAAGAAACTGTAAGTCGACTAAGTAATCAACGATATCTGTTTTATTGTTTTCGAAAACTGTCTTGAAACCACAAAATCACAGGAAATTGAACTTATTTTTAAATACTCTTGAAAAATGCAGGAAAACAATATTTGTGCATCTTAAATATTTTTTATTCTTTTGGGGTCCCCGTGGATGTGTTTTTTAATACTTATGCACAAGTCATGGACTACTTAATTGGTACAATCATACAATGAAGCACTGTTTATATATAATGCGTTATTCATACAAAATACAATATGTCCAAGAAAGTGCACAAATGGATTTAAACCTCAAAATAAAAATCCAGTAAATCAAGACTCTATACACCGACTATACATGTATACTGTTTACTACGAGCAAACATAATAAATGTAGATATCATCTTTTGAAAAAAGAACAATTTTCATTCAAAAAAAATAATAATCGAAAAGTTAACAATTTATTTTACATTCAAACACACTCACACACAAACCAAAACCAAACAAACATAAATACATAAACAATAGTTAAATTTGTAGAAACTTCACATATAATCTGACTGGATTTACACACTCGTCAGAAGCAAAGATAAAAGTCGTATCTTATCAAGGGGTAACACCTTTTGTACAAAAAGCAAAATGAGGACATTACACGTGTGTGCCTTTATTGTCTTGGTCTCCTGTGTCCTGTTGTCGTTATTGTTAGATGTGCGGGTGCCAGAACCCATCGAAGAAAAGCTCAGTACCAGGGTAATGGAAGGATGTTTGAAAGGCCTTGGTCATTTCGTGAGTCACATCCTGTTCCTAAAAAAGTTGATGAAAGCACAATGATTCATGTATCCCTAACTTATTTGAGGAACATTTGGATCCTGTAGACGTTCTTTTTTCCACGGGGTTTTAATTCCGCGGAATCTTAATTTCCGTTTAATCCGCGTGTTGAAAATTACGCGGATTTTTCAAACTGTCACTATATGCCTTGCATTTATATTAAGTACGCTTGGACAAATTTCCGCGGAAAATTTGTGATCGCGTACATAGCGTAAATTAATACTGCGCGGAAAAAAGTACGTCTACAGTACCCTGAAAGTATAAATATATGGGTGGATTCCCAGTTTGACACCTTTGGTAAAAGCGTTCGTGTTCTTACACTATTTCTCACACGTTTATACATACGCCTACCCAAGCTTTTGCAGGTTTTACCACAATGTGAAATAGACTTTCCAATTGATGTTAATTTACTGATAAAGTGATTTGCAATGTGTAATGCATTACATGATTATTTAGACTCAGTTATTAATTCTGACAGGCAAATTTTATCACTGATGGAGAGCTCTACAAGCAACCCAGTTGAATTCAGTTTTAAAATGATTGAAAGAAAAAAAACAGTCAAATGTATTAAAATTGACATAATAGGCTCCATCCCTTGCACTCTCTGGCCCTCCATTTTGGAGACTCCATCCTCCGCATTTTACACCAAACCCTGAACCTTCATGTAGCCCTTATCTTGTGCGCAACGTTTTGGGGTTAAGTTAACTTGTGAATACAAATGTAAAATAATGAAACTAATCAATATGAAGTCAAACACCTTATAAGCAAGGCGATGTTTCTTTCTCCAGGCTTCCGTAGTTGATTGGATGTGAAATGATAAAAATGATCTTTTTAGCAACACTTCACTTTGTTTTGTTAGTTAGGTGTTCTGATTGCTCTTGGCATTACAAAACCATTTTCACCAATGTTGAAAGGAATTGGTAGCAATGTCTACAGAGTATGTACTACAGGAAAACTTTGGAATCCACAAGACAAAGATCTAAAGGTAAAGCATTATGACCCATAAGCTCACCTGACCCGAAGGCTCAAGTGAGCTTTTCTGATCAAAATTTGTCCGTTGTTTGTCGTCGTTGTTGTCGTTGTTGTTGTCGACGTAAACTTCACATTTTCGTCTTCTTCTCAAGAACCACTGGGCCTATCCCAACCAAACTTGCCACAAAGTGTCTTTGGGTGAAGGGGATTCAAATTTGTTCAAATGAAGGGCCACGTCCTCTTCTAAGGGAAGGTAATTATGAATTAGTGAAAAAAATAATGGGTCTTTTAAAATTCTTTTCTCAGAAACCACAGGGCCAGGAAAAATGAAACTCATGTGGAAGCATCCTAAGGTAGTGTAGATTCAAGTCTCTTGAAATCATGACCCCCAGGAGTAGGGTGGGGCCATGATATTTGGTCAGAGTTTAACATAGGAATACATAGGGAAAATCTTTAAAATTCTTATTCTCAAGAACCAATGGGTTAGGAAAGATGAAACTCATTTGAGAGCTTCATCAGGTAGTGTAAATTCAAGTTTGTTCAAATCATGACCCTCAGGGGTAGGGTTGGGGGCCACAATGGGAAGTCAAAGTCTAACATAGGAATATATTGGGAACATCTTTAAAAAGATTCTTCTCAAGAATTACTGGGCCATGAAAAATGAATTTCAAGTGGAAGCATCCTCTGGTAGTTTAGATTCAAGTTTATTAGTCATGACCCCCGAGGGTAGGATGGAGCCACAATGAGGGATTAAAGTTTAACATAGGAATACTTGGGGGAAATCTTTAAAATTCTTCTCAAGAACAGCAAGGCCATGATTGCTCATAGTTATTTGGAAGCATCCTCTGGTAGTGTAGATTCAAATTTGTTCAAATCATGACCCCCCGGGGGTAGGGTGGGACCATAATCGGGTATCAAAGTTTAACATAAGAATACATAGAAAAAATCTTGAAAAAATCTTCTTCTCAAGAACAGCAAAGTTGTGATTGTTCATGTTTATATGGAAGCATCTTCTGGTAGTGAAGATTCAAATTTGTTCAAATCATGACCAATCAGGAGAAAAGAAGAGCCTGAAATACATATATTTAAAAATTTTCTGACAGATAACGGACAGGTTAATGAATGGGATACCGGTCCGTCTTTACGAGCCGTTAACATCTCTTCAGCAAACCAACAGATCTGTCTTTATATACATTCACGGAGGAGGCTGGACTTTTCTCTCTGTCGGTCAGTTTGAATTTGTCATATTCGTTTTAATGCTGCTTTGGAAAGCTAGGATGAAGAATATACATGTATATATTTTGTATTTTTGTTTTGATAATTTTCTTTTCGTAGATAACTATGACCTCTTTAACCAAAGACTTTCAAAGGAAACTGGTGTAGTTATCGTATCCGTGGAGTAAGATAATTGGCTTACTTTATTATCTTATTTTCAAGATAGTTTTAGAAAGATTTTTCACAGATTTTTTTTGTATTTCATAATGATATTTTCTTTATATGTATTCTTTATATGGAATTAAAAATTAAGCCTACCTTTGGCTATTCATTTTTGGCAAAGTCGGTGCGCATCTGAATTATCAGTCAGCCAAAATATTGAGTTTTTGACCAGAAATGCAGAATATTACAATATTAACTTATATAATTATTCATTTGCTTTTTTAAGTACAAACAACTTTTTCTCACAGATACCGGCTGATTCCTCAAAATCCCTATCCAGCTGGATTGGACGACATAAAAAATGTTGTTTCATACGTTTTCAAAAACGCTAGGGATCTTGGAGTTGATCCAGGCCGTATTGCAGTAGGTGGAGACAGTTCTGGCGGGAATCTTGCTGCAGCAGTTCAACTTCGCCCTGAAATGCGCGGGAAAATAGCAATGCTGCTTTTATTGGTGCCTGTATTACAGGCAGTGAACATGAAAACCATCGGGTTTATAGAAAATATAGAGTATCTAAACAAAAGTATGAACGATCCTCAAAAGACAAACTATTTCTTGACCTACCTCAATTTAGATCATTCATTGTGTGGTGCGTTTCTGAACAACCTTCATACGTCTGCTGATTTCAAACGAGGGAAATACAAGTTTTTGTTTGATCAGCAGACATATTTACCTGATAAATATATACGATCCAAGGAGCTTAGACTAAAGAGACCCGAGGTTGAATATATTGGTAATGAAACTTTATTTAAGGAATTGAAAGATAAACTAACAGATCCTACCATCTTTCCTTTAATGGCATCTGATGAAGAACTGTCTCATTTCCCGTTTACATATATTTTGGCTGCCGGATATGATTTGATCCGTGACGATGCAATCATGTTTGCAGAACGTCTTAGACATCTTAATAAAGACGTAGAGCTTTCACATATAGCTGATGGTTTCCACAACGCATTATTGATGTTTGATGGTCCTCTTCAGACGAATGTTGGCGTGAGAACAGTGAATGACATCATCAGAGTGCTTAAAAAACTATAGCAACATGTATACAATGCTACTTATTTATTAATTTAAATAAGATGTTACAAAGCAATTCTATTATTTGATATTGTTATTGTAGCAAAGTAATATACAATACCTGTATACAACGACAATTTTAAGTAACAACTCTTTGGAGAATACATTTATACTACCATGTGGAAGAAGTTCATGAACTACGTTAATAAATTTATAATATGAACTACATAAATAAATAAATAAATAAATAAATAAATAAAGTAATTAAACTCAAATTCAAAGTGCATCACTTGACTTTCTTATTCATCTTATCCCTCTGAAAAGGATATCGGGGCAATATAATAAATGAATGATTATCAACAAAAAAAAAAACCCCCATCAAGCTTAGATAAGTACCAAATACAATAAAAGTGTTTAAAATTTTACAGGTTCTCAAGTTTCATTATAAGTATTATTCAACTTTAAAGCAAGGGAATATAAACGATGGTTGTAATCAGTTATACCATGAAAAGAGAATTAAAGAATATTATGATTATCGATTTAAAACAAGGTAGACGATTGATCTGTGCTGACCAAACACGGATTTCTGAATATTTTGATGCAGGGTGACGTTTAATGACAATTTACGAATATTGACTTTTAGATGATTCCAAAAACATGTATAAATTTCCACTGAATTAAATTCAAAATATTTCCCAAAATGATGAGGACAAGATTTGTCATAAGATATTTTATGGGACCGCGAACAGGCATCTGGCGGGTGATACACCAGACACTACCATGTTCTATAATTTTCAGTTAATGAGGGACTACGAGAGTTTCTGGCTTGACAATATTGCTTTTGACCTTGAATGCAGAGACAAGAATAAAAGCATATGAACTCTGGCCTGGGGCTATAAAACCCAGCTCAATTTTGATTTCAGTGTTACTTTCCACAAAGAAATACATAGTGGAAAAGCGTGACTGAGATCAAAAGTGAGCTCGTCTTAGTTTTATGGTCCCCAGGCTTGCATTAAGGTCTACTTTCCATGTGTTCAAATATTTTGTTTCTTGTGTCTATTATTTTAAGAGAACAATGAATAAAATTTTGGGTTACAAAGAAGTATTATTGTGACTTACAATCCATACATATGCAATCAATGAATTACTTATACAATTTTCTACACAATATTTTTCATCCTGCAAGTTTATAAATGTTTATATATAAAGATATAAAAGATATTTATTATTTCATGTCAAATTGACAAGCTCTGTTTGTCTTTCTATAATATACCAGTATATTTTAATGCAATGTATGTATCTGTATTTCAGTTTATCTAGATTATAATTTTCTGTATTTCGTATCAAAGATTCAACAGAATTTCGGAGGATGTATACACAAAATGTAATGAATTCCACAAAGCCCTCTTTTAGCATGGTAAGCCTGATACAATATCCCTGATAATTGGCTTTCCATAATCCTTTCAACACTAGAACACCTTATCTTATCCTCCTTCAATGAGTAAAAAGTCTGTAAAACAGTTTGTCGTGTGTTGCCACCTTTGTGACGTGTAATAATTTGTTTGAAATTCTCAAAAGTATTATTAACAATGACATATGATTTGTAGCAGACACAAAATATCAAGATGAGAAATAAACCAATTTTGTAAAGGGAGATAATCCAAGTTTACAGTAATTACCACTTAGAGTTAACAGAAAAATCATGAAAATGGGTCTGAAATTTTATATCTTTTTTACTTTACAATTTATCTTTTTTCAGCTTCAAAATTAATATTTTGAAAACTACTGGTTTCACTTAATGAATAGGGTGTGTAATTTTTCGGTACTATATATTAAAAAGCTTAATCAAATAGTATTTGATTTTTCAACAGATACATGTTCATCGATAATGGTTTCTACGATTCAATACATAGAAGTTAAAAGGGAATATCAAACCATTTTTACTCCACACACCATGGAATTCAATAAAGGACGCAGAAGGTATGATAATAAAAATAATATAGAAAAAAACTTTGTTATATGCTTCAAACCTACTCTTTACCAGCTAATATTGAAAGCAGCAATTATCCAAACATGAATGATTTTATAAATTCAATAAAAGAAGTGTTTGGAAAAAAAACAAAGATTTTAATGATGTGATATCCCTAAAAACTACTTGAAATGTATGCTGATATATGATCGAACAATGAATATAAATGAACAATATCTTCAGTTATCATGTTAAGGAGAACACATGGAATATAATCGGTCTATCGAGAATCCTTTCTTTTCCATGAAAGATGACCCCACAACTGATGATTTTAGAGGTCTTTGTTTGTTCCGCTCCAAATTTGTATATAGTTTAAATAACCTAACTGGAGCTTGTTTATTTTATCAATTTCATACACAATTTTCCAATGAATTAAATGTAGCCTGAAATGTTTACATGTAAAATTTGAACGCAACTACGAATTTGTAAAATAATGTTTTGACAATACTGCAGTGCATCTAATAAGCACGGCTAAAGACGTGAAGGACCTAGAACTCCACTGGTAAATATTAGTTACCTGAGTACATTGATAAACGGTATTTTCTCTAGAGAAGTGGACAGGCAAAAGCCTGTCCACTTCTCTAAACAGAATATGATAACCGGTCAAATTTACCAGATAAGCCTCTCTTAAACCAAAATACATTTTACAAGGTGTTTACAAAATGAAGGTGTTTTATGTATGTACTTTGATTGTTTTAGTTTTCTGTGTTCTGTTGTACTCCTTTCTGGATGTACGGGTACCAGAACCTATTGAGGAGAAGTTCAGTATCAGGGTCATGGAGGGATGTATGAAAAACATCGGCCATTTTGTAAGTTGAATTTAATCTTTATTTCGATCATTCGTCCTAGACCATACACAGACTTTACTGTTTATTACGAGCAAACATAATAAATGTAGTTTAGATATTATTTTGGTTAAAAAAAAAGAAAAAACAAATTCTCATTCAAAAAAATGTTGTTTAAATCTTATGACTATTAGTCAGTAAAGATTAGTCCGTTTTGTATATTTTTTTTGCTTTTAATCGATAAATTAACAATTTCAACACACTAAAACATACACAAAGCAAAACCAAACAAACATAAAGACATAAACAATAGTTAAATTTGTAGAAACTTCACATATAATCTGACTAGATTTACACACTCGTGAGAAGCAAAGATAAAAGTCGTATCTTATCAAGGGGTAACACCTTCCGAACACAAAAAAATGAAGACCACCTTTATTGTGTTGGTCTCCTGTGTCCTGCTGTCCTTATTGTTAGATGTACGGGTGCCAGAACCCATCGAAGAGAAGCTCAGTGTCAGGGTGATGGAATGATGTTTGAAAGGCCTTGGTCATTTCGTGAGTCACATCCTGTTCCTAAAATAGTTGATGACAGCACAATGATTAATGTATCCCTAACTTATTTGAGGAACATTTGGATAAACTGAGAGTATAAATATATGCGGATTCCCAGTTTGACGTCTTTGGTAAAAACTTTCGTGTTTTGTACTGAAAATCAACTATTATTCGCCTCACGTTTTATTTATTCGCGATCCGTCAGTTTGGAATCAATCTGCGAGGATTAATTTACGAGAACGAGAAAACATTAACTAAAATTACAAACAAATCAAAAGTTCAAGGCGATTGATATTCGTAAGTTAAAGTAGAAATAAATTCAAAGGCAAAATATTCCTGTCTGAACCTACATGTAGCCTCTATCTAGTGCGCCACGTTTTGTGATTAAATAAACTTGTGAATACAAATGTAAAATAACAAAACTAATAATCAAGTCACAAAATATTAAGTCAAATACCTAATAAGCAAAACAATGTTTCTCCAGGACTTCTGTAGTTGATTGGATGTGAAAAGAAAAAAAATGATCTTATTAGCAACACTTCAATTTATTTTGTTTTGTCAGATAGGTGTTCTGATTGCTCTTGGCATTACAAAACCATTTTCACCAATGTTGAAAGGAATTGGTAACAATACAAACGTAAAAAAACTTTGGAATCAAAACTAATAAAGGTAAAGCATTATATTGTTTTATACTTGTATTTAAATACCAAAACATGCTTCCAAATTGTGTGAAGAGTAGTCGGAAAACGAAACATGCAAAACGAATTTTTTTTATATATCTTATTTAGGAGTGTTGTTGAATACTAATATTGTTGTTAAGAAATTTTAAAATAAAAAACACGCATGAAACTTATTATAATAAATGTATTTTATCTAAATTGTTTTGTTTAACGGACAGGTTAATGAATGGGATACCGGTCCGTCTTTACGAGCCGTTAACATCTCTTCAGCAAACCAACAGACCTGTCTTTATATACATTCATGGAGGAGGTTGGACTTTTCTCTCTGTCGGTAAGTTTGAATTTGTCATATTCGTTTTAATGCTGCTTTTGAATGCTAAGATAAAGAATATATTGTATTTTTGCTTTGATAACTTTTAAATTTCTTTTCGTAGATAACTATGACCTCTTTAACCAAAGACTTTCAAAGGAAACTGGTGTAGTTATCATATCAGTGGAGTAAGATAATTGGCTTCATTTATTATCTTATTTTCAAGATATTTAAAGGAAGATTATACACTGATATTTTAGCTCTACTGGTCAGAGACCAGAAGAGCTTTTGCAATAGTAATGTGTCCGTCGTCTGTCCGTCTGTCTGTAAACACTTTTTCAAAATGCAACTTCTCTTACAATTTTGATCCGATTTCAATATAACTTAATACATAAGTAGACTATACTAAGATACATAATTCTCTTTATCGGTTTCTGATTTCGATGGACGGTGTTGCTGTGGTTACTAAAAATAGAAATTTCTGTAAAATTCAAAAAGGCTACTTCTCCTACAGATTTGGTCTGATTTCAATATAACTTGGCACACAATTAGACTACACTAAGATACAAAATTCTGTTTATCAGTTTTTGATTTCGATGAACGGTGTTACCGTGGTAACTAAAAATAGAAATTTCTGTGAAATGCTTTTCAAATGCAACTCTCCTACGGTTTTGGTCTAATTTCAAAAGAACTTTGAAAACTCTTTCAAAAGTTCTTTCAAAAGAACAAAAGACCACAAGAAGACTACTTTAAGCCACATAATTCTGTACAACCGTTTTTGATTTTGATGAACATTGTTACCGTGGTAGCTTAAAATATAAATTTCTGAAAATACTTTTAAAATGCTATTCCAAATACAGTTTTAGTCTGATTATAATATAATGTGGCATGCAGGTAGACTACACTAAGAAACATTATTGCCTTTTTAAAAAATTCTTCTTTTCATGAAATATCAATGATGTTGCCATTGTAACTAAAATTGAAAATTCTGTTAAATTATTTTAAAAGCTCTCCTACAGTTGTAGTCTTATTGGAATATTGCCACAAAAAAATGACTTAATCAAGGATCATTATTTTATCTATCGCTGTATTAAAGTTTCAAGTCCCAACTGCTACTCTTTTCTTCCTTTGTTACAAGGATAAATCAGTAGAGCAACAGTATCGACAGAGACTTCTGGTTTGTATTTCGTAATGATAGTTTCTTATATATCTCTCTATATGTATTCTTAAAAAATTAAGCCGACCTTTAAAATTCGCTTCTTTTTTTTAACTCAGTTATGAATTGGCAAAGATGGTGCACCTGTTAATTAACAGTCAGCGAAAATATTGAGTTTTAACAAGAAATGCAGAATATTACAATATTCACTAATGTTATAATTAATTTGCTTTTTTTTTTTTTAAATCTAAACATTTTTTTTCGTTCAGATACCGACTGAGTCCTCAAAATCCTTATCCAGCTGGATTGGACGACATAAGAAATGTTGTTTCATACGTCTTCAATAAGGCTAGGAATCTTGGAGTTGATCCAGGCCGTATTGCAGTAGGTGGAGACAGTGCTGGCGGGAATCTTGCTGCAGCAGTTCAACTTCGCTCTGAAATGCGCGGGAAAATAGCAATGCTGCTTTTACTGGTGCCTGTTTTACAGGCGGTGAACATGAAAACAATCGGGTTTATAGAAAATGTAGAGTATCTAAACAAAAGTATTAACGATCCACAAATGACAAACTTTTTCTTGAATTACCTTAATTTAGATCATTTATTGTGTGGTGCGTTTCTGAACAATCTTCACACGTCTGCTGATTTTAAACGAGGGAAATACAAGTTTTTGTTTGATCAGCAGAAATATTTACCTGATAAATATATACGATCCAAGGAGCTTAGACTAAAGAAACCTGAGGTTGAATATATTGGCAATGAAACTTTATTTAAGGAACTGAAAGATAAACTAACAGATCCTACCATCTTTCCTTTAATGGCATCTGATGAAGAACTGTCTCATTTCCCGTTTACATATATTTTGGCTGCCGGATATGATTTGATCCGTGACGATGCAATTATGTTTGCAGAGCGTCTTAGACATCTTAATAAAGACGTAGAACTTTCACATATAGCTGATGGTTTCCACAACGCATTATTAATGTTTAGTGGTCCTCTTCAGACGAATGTTGGAGTGAGAACAGTTAATGACATCATCAGAGTGCTTAAAAAACTATAGCAACATGTAGAGAGTGCTACCTATGTTCTTAATTTAAATAAACGGTTACAAACATTTTTTTAAGATGAAGTGATATTGCATTACTTGATATTGTTATTGTAGCACATAAATATACAATACCTGTATATAACGACAATTTAAAGTAACAACTCTTTCGAGAGTACATTTATACTACCATGTGGAACAGCATCCTCAAGAACTACGTCAATGGATATACAATTAAACTCAAATTCACAATGATTACCTTCCTTTGTTTATTCATCTTCTCCCTCTGAAAAGATAACCGGGGCAATGTAATAAATGATTGATCAACAACAACAAAGCCGTCGAGCTTAGATAAATACCAAATACAATAAAAGTGTAAAAAATTGTACCGGTTTTCAAGTTTCATCGTAAGTATTATTCAACTTTAAAGCATAGGAATCTAAACGATGGTTGTAATCAATTACCGGTATTACAAAAAAAGAGAATTGAAGAACACTATGATTATCGATTAAAAACAAGGTAAACAGTTAATCTGTGTTGACCAAACAAAGGTTTCTAAAAAAAAAAAGTTGATGCAAGGTGATGTTTGGTGACAATTTATTGACTTTGAGTTGGTCCATAATCATGTATAAATTTCCACTGAATTTAGTTCAAAATATCCCCCCCTTCAACCCCCCCCCCCACAAATAGTAATGGCGGCCACCTATTTTTAGATGCCTGACAAAGACGAACGTTAACAGGAGTATCTATAAAAATATAAAGAATTTGGTAAGTATGTAGCATTATCAAAATAACTCGAAAATTATCTGATTGAAACGATTTTTTAACAGAAATAAAAAAGATCTTCAAATAATTTTTACTTTAAAAATATTAATATCTTGTGTATATTGGATATACTAAGCAGCCTTTGTTATAAAGTTAATGTCATGTCTATAAGTTCTAGTTTTTTTTCGGTTTGAGGCCTCAAACCATTCCAATTATATTACTAATGCCTTTCATTCAAAATCAAAAGGAAACATTTAATTCTCGTACTGTTTGGGTACTTATATGTACACAGATCATGGTAGAAACGGTAATTCCACAGTGATATACAAAAACTATTTTCATAAAAAGATATTCTGAGGCCTTTCATCTGAGAATTTCTTTCTTTTTCAGGAAAGGTTCATTCCTGTTCTAAAAATAGTGTTGGTTCGCATTGTGTGTCATATACTGGCAAATCAATTAACAGTCTAACTTCCTTATTTAGATAAACTCTGTTTCCCCAAATAGCTTATGTCGTTGGATTTTTGTTCATAGTTAATTCTTTAAGATCAAAGATGAAAGTGATATTTTGGATAACAATTGCACTCCTACCCATGGGTGAGTATTGTTATTAATTTATGCTGATAGTCAAGAAATATATACATATACAGTATAATTTGTCCAATCCGGCTACCGCCGGTTCCATAAAATTTGGCCGGATTAGACAGAATCCGGAGTGCAGGAAAAATCCAGGAAATTATCAATTTCGAAAATTTTCATTGTTTATTTACAAGTACATCATATACATATTATTAATAAAATTAAATGAAGAAATCAATCAATATTTTGGAGTCTAGAAATTATAAAATAGCCTCACATGACTTACTGTATTTTCTTATTTGTTCACGAAGTTTGAAAGTCTGGTGAAATGTTACTTCAATCAAAATATACATGCACGCATAATATAGGCCTACTATGTATTAAGCGGTCCGGGTTTCGCTTGTCAAAGAACTCATTCAATGTACCGGGGTATTAACAGTAATGCACAATTATTAACGATGTGCTAATTACATTATTAGATTTTACTTTTATTTTTTATGTAAAAAATTACGTCTTCCCACACTGTTATGGCGCCATTTTGAAATGCGTTCAATTTTCGATCCCGATTTATATTTTGATTTGTAAATCGCGTATTTTGTGTTTATGTTATACTGTGGTAAAAGGAATTTAAAACAAGGTTAATTTTATTAAAATTGTAATTTAATCATATAAAATATTTTAAGTGGACTGTGTCACCGCCGCATTTCACTTTCGTCTCATGGCACTAATCATGCTAATGTAAACACGGATTATCACATCCAGCACGAAACGTGTTAATTGCTTTGAAGTAACTCGGGTGCGGCCGGATTAGAGGGAATAATTACCGTTAATTATGAGCAGTTGGGACCAGTATGGCCGTTCGGAATACAGAATAGACAGTATCCGGACTACACAGAATTTTTCCTAATGATTTTGTTAAAGAAGTGCATGGGACTAAATTTTATAGACGGAATGGACAAAAGTCCGGAGTACTCAGAGTCCGGATTAGACAAATTTTACTGTACAATGTTTTATTTGGTAAACTTAAAATGATACTCATTAGAAAAACAAAAATATAACTGCAATTCATACCTTTAAAATTTGCTTCAATACCTTTTTACGTCATTGATACTTTTTGTCAGTGTCATTCGGAAAAACACAAATGTTGACAACAGAGCACCCAATGGTGTGGCATGATGCGGACAAGATTTGTCACAAGAAATTTAATGGGACCGGGTACAGGCATCTGGCGGGTGATATACCAGACACGACCATGTTCTATAGCCTTCAGGTGATAAAGGACTACGAGAGTTTCTGGCTTGACAATATTGCTTATGACCTGGGATGTAGAGGCAAGAATTACAGAGTATGATCTCTGGCCTGGGGCCGTGAAACTCATACGAGCTCAATTTTGATCTCAGTCACACTTCCATCAAAGGAATATATAGTGGAAAAGCGTGACAGAGATCATAAGTGAGCTCGTCTAAGAGTTATGGTCCCCAGGCTTGCACTGATTTACAATAAAAATATCATTGTGACTTACAATCCACACAAATGCAATCGATAAATTGCTCTATACAATATGCCTGTTTCTTTACGTGTTAAAAGATTTAAAAAGTAGGTATATTTACTTTTCTTTTCACTGTAAGGCATTTATTTATATTAATGAAACTATAAACATTAATATAACAATTCCAGAGTGTTTTTTTTTCCTTTGCTTTAGATGGAATATGTTCTCATGTAATAGAAAGACATCGACGATTCCTCAGCCACGATGATCTACCCTATCTTTGTCAAGATGGTGAGAAATCTGACAAGCACTTTAATCACTAATGCTTGATGAAATTATAATATTTAGAAAACCGTTTTTTCAATGTTAAAATATAAAATCAACAAAAAAAGTACCAACCACCAGGAAGCATTATCAACCTGAGAGGCATCATGGAACCTTCTAGATTATTTATCTCCTTTCTTAATTATAGCGAACGGAGAAGTAACTATACGAAAATACTGTGGATGGAACAGCAATATTCTCAACGTCACTTATTCTATGATTGGGAAATTACGACAGGAAATCTCAAGATTTTTAGCCGGAGAAGAATTTATCGTCAACAGCATTGCTTTAAGTAAATATACATATGAATATTTTCATCTTTAAAAGGCTGTGAATCTTCCTTTCCTGATTAAAATAAGCAAATCAAATTTCAAGTTTATTAACCTATTTATAAACCATATTTATAGTAGTTTTGACAAGTTTCTATACAATATTCTTCATACGGATTAATTAGATTTTTAAAAAAATCGAAATAATAATCAAAAAGTCAAATGGACAACCCTTCGTGCCTTTGCTTTAGTGTATATTGTAATTTAATACTGTATTTTAATATATCTACATGTAGATTATAATTACATACATTTTCTTTCAAAGATTCAACAGAAGTCAAATGCACAATGGCAAGGAAGCATGGACAAGAATTTCGGAGGATGTACACAAAATGTAACGAATTCCACAAAGCCCTTTGTGAGCATGGTAAGCCTGACACAATTTCTCTGAGAAATACCGTTTAATCCCTATTAACCGCCCCTGCCCCTATAAGCGCCCCTAAGGGCTTTTTCAATTGTCAAGAAATAAGGGCCCCCTGTACAGTGATTAAAATCATCTAGAATCATATCAAAAGTCTGCCAAAATTTGAAGAATTAGTGAAAATGAAACTTGTCTATTATTAAATTTCTCGATGGAAAATGAATCATTAAGCATAATTTGGTTGGATTATCTTCACTTAAAGTAGAGTTAGACATTAATGTAGTTGTTCTTTGAATTTATTTATTTTTTAAAAAGATTTTTTGAAGTTAAAATATGACATTAAATATACCAAAATAACCGCCCTCTTATCGCAATTTTCTAAGCGCCCAGGGCGGTTAATAGGGATTATACGGTAGCTATTTGATTTATTATATATTTTCCGTGCCTTTTCATAACATGGGATGTAAAATAAAGTTGTGTGTAATACACTCTTACCATATATTGTATTACTCATATTATTCAAAGGTTATCTTTTTTAGCTTCAAAATCAATATTTTGAAAACTACATGTTCATGGGCTGTGTGATTTTAAGGTATTATTCAAAACTTAATAAAAGAGCACTATGATATCACTCATTTTCGTGAGAGGTTATTTTAACATTTTCGTTATTATTTGATTTCTTAACAGATACAAGTTATTCGATAATGGTTTCCACAGTTGAATATAGAGAAATTAAAAGGGAATACCAAATCATTTTTACTCCACATTCTGCTGAGTCATGGAATTCAATGAAAGACAGAGAAGAGGGTATGATAGTAAAAATTAATATAGAAAAGAAACTTAGTTATATGCTACAAACCTTCTCTTTACCAGCTAATATTGAAAGCATTATTGATTTAGTCATGAATAATTTAATAAATTTAATAAAAAAAAAAGTATTCAGTTAATTCAATAATAAAAAAAATAATGACTTACTTTTTGTACGTGAAATTTCTACACGTACTCAATAGATTCAACAGATTCCACAGGGTTTCAGGAAATAATCTGGACAAGTTTATCTATTGCTGTGGTCGTAATGGCATTTTCTGTCTGCATAGGAGGCATAATTTTCTGCAAAAGGTAATTTGTTTAGCAGTACAGAAATGATTGAAAATTAACTGCTAAGTGAATAACATAATAATGAATGTTATCTCATAGAAAGGTTATTAAAATCTGTATTTTGCAAAAAAGAACAAATTACATGTATTTATTGCAAATATGCATTCGCAAATTCTTTGTTTTGTTGTTGATATAAACATAATATCTCTGTAAAAAACAACATTTAAATAAATTAAAATCATTTATAGAAAGAATATAAAAATGGACAGTGTTTATGACACCATATTTATGCGTCCACGGGGTGGAGGAAATCGTTATACTATTCGTATCCCAACCGACCCAAACTCACCTATATCTGAGCCAGCAAACCATCTGCTTCCGACATCTCAATCCGTAGTTAGAAACCCCACACCAACTGCACCGACAACCAGAAACCCTACATCTCCACCAAGAGTCGACAGTGTACAGACACTAGCGTCATCTACTCTATCATCAGCAGATACATCTTCATCGTATGTGGACGATGTTCGTTATTACAGAAATTTTTCATATGAGACTCCACCAAGTGTAGCCCCGTCAGAGGCTCCTAGGATTGAAATTCAGCCAAGTGCACCAGCTGCTTCAACGTCCGGTTCAACATCTGGACGACTTTACTGTTCATCTTGCAGAAGACACAGAAGAAGGCGTGATTTTCAACGAACGTCCTCAAACTGCACGAGTTGTTCCTCAGTGCACTCTGCATACACACAACCTTCATCGAGGTTAGCAGAGAGAAATGTTTCACTTGATACAAATGATTCGTCTTCCTTAAGATCACAACGATCATCAAGAGACACAAATGATACAAACTCTATGAGGTCGCACCGATCACATCGTTCCAAAAGAAGCCATCATCATGGTTTATCAAAGAAGTCTCGCCACAAGGTGGAAGAAGAATATTTTGATACTGGTCAGATAGCAACACCAGGACCCTCAACTGAAACTGGACACGAGAGCGGAGGATCTAACAATTTACTCAGAAAACACAAATTAGGTAGTAATTTTTTTAACACTCAAATTATAAATAAAGTTGTGTTCCTCTTGCTGAGTAATATCTATTTCATAAATATTATCTGTCATGCTTTTGAGCAACGATATTAGTCTTCTTTGTATCCGGATAAAGCAACAGCACGATAAAATACTTAATAATAAAGAGATGTAATATATATGTATACAAATACCGGTATATACTCCCCTAATACATATTTAATCACAATTTGGTAGAAAAAATGAAAAGCAATGTTTGACAGTACAATAAAAGAATCAATTGAGAATAGAAAGAAAATAAAATAGAGAGAAATGCAAGCAATTTACATCTGAAGGCACTAACAATATCTTGTTTTTGCAGTGGATCGGATACAAACGTCAAGCGGCTTCAGAATGGTTAAAAGGATGTTTTCAGTTGATTTAAAGTAATGGAACAAGAAATACCGACGCTAACTGCGAAGTAATTTGAAATGGAAGATGAAGACTCGAATTCTCTGTAAAAGTGTGTTCTCGTAGATTCTTTTAAGATACATGCTCATAAAATTAGTAAATAAGAAAACCTACCCTAGTAAAGATTATTGGTATAGTGTGGTCCTCCAAAAGATTGATAACATACACGTGATCTGATCCTACACGTGATCTGATCCTGCAGAGGACCATCTTTCATTTATATCATAAATGATCGTTTATATCAGTTCTTACTCTCGTCAAAAAACCGTATGTGTATTCAAACAGTGAAGTCCGAAAATCAAGAAAGAAAGAAATATCACTATAATTCCAACAAATATCCAAAAATTAAGATTTTCAAGGGAAACGAATAAACATATTTAAAAAAAGATATGTTTTTATTTTGATAATTAACCAATAATTTACATTTGTGTAATAGTAGTGAACAGTCATGTGTTGTATCTGATATCAAAGACTTCTAAAGTAAAAGGGAATAAATCCCTTCCCATCACAACGATTTTGATATTTTATATGTCATCTACAGAAAGGATCATCGAGTGCATTCAAAAGATATTTTTTAATGAGATTGTATTTAAAAAGCACATATTTTGTTATTGTTTTCAATTTGAGAAAAAAAATAATTAAAATGCACATATCATAATTTAACATGTTTGAAATGTATACAGGCAACTTCGCCACATATGATCCTCATATGAAAGGCAATGCATATATGTGGATCATATGTGACTGAATTGCCTATGAAAATATCAGGTTTAGTATCAGAAAAATGCAGAATTAAACCTCATATAAACGCTTTTATTTTTTTTCAAATATTTTTTTCTGTCCTGTAAATCCAAAATTATGGGTTTTCAATAAATCAGACGGTTGTGAAACGGAGTAAAATATTCACATGAATAGTCTCATCATACTGTAATAATTTGATAACAACCAAATGTTTTTAGTAAATTATTTGACTCTGTACGTACTTCAATTAAGGGAACTTTATCTCAGTGTTAAGCGATAAGTTTAAATTCAAATAAGTATCGGCTTGTGTACATGTTCTTCAAATCTTATTGATATCTTTTTTTGTAAATTGTGTGTTTCCGTTTCTCTTTCAAAAAATGAGGCGAAAGTATAAAATCATGTGAAATTTCCACATTTATTTCCCTTTTAGTATTTAAATTAATGCAATATTCTATGAGTTTTCCTTTCATGTGAACAATATTTATAAGTTAGAAATTCTGAAAACAAAAGTAGTTTACATGATGCATTAACAAAAGTATTACCAAGTGGTCAAAGATTGTGTATGTTCCTTATCATGAAGGGACAAATGGAATATCCATATACAATTAAGAATGACAAAAATGATTAAGCAATAAGTAATAAAACGCTAGATAACATTTCACTTAATAATAGAGTGTCATTGCTGACATGGTGTTTATATCGACCATAGTATTTGCAGAATCCCGACTCTAAACTTGGGTTTTGATGTTCTTGTATCATGAACGTATTTGTCAATAGTTTGTCTCGTTTTAGAAAATGTTCGTATGGAGAGCGTGTATCTTTGTAGCGAATTATCTGAAACACATGAACTCAAAATGCTGGTGATAATGGTATATTGCAACAAAATAAATTGAATATTCAAAATTTAAAATACGTGAGTTGTCGAATACAATTGTTTTCATCATTTTCATCATTAGGTTAACATTAATGAATTAATACAAGAAAAAAACTAAATAATAGTTTACTATTGTTTACTATAGTTTACTATAGTAAATCAAAGTGTAAAATTTATCACTATAGTAAATCAAAGTTTTCAAAATTTTCATTATAGTGTCAAAGTGTTCACTATAGCAGATCAAAGTTTTCAAAGTGATCACTATCGTGTCAAATTTATCATTATAGTAAATCAAAGTTTTCAAACTTATCATCGTAGTAAATCAAGTTTTTCCATAGTAAATCAAAGTTGCCATAGTGATCACCATGGTAAATCACAGTTTTCATTGTTATCACTAATGTAAATCAAAGATTTAAAGTTATCACTATAGTAAATCAAAGTGTAAAAGTGTTCAATATAGTAAATCAAAGTTTTCATAGGGTTCACTATAGTTAACTACAGTAATTTATTGTTAACTATAGTATTTTCTTGTTAAGGAATATCCAAATTTGAAAGAGATGTGTTAGACTCTGGGTTGCCTCTGAATTCGAGTTCAAAGAGATAAACTACAGTATCGAACCAAGTAAAAATTAATATTGTTAATTAATAAAACTTCCTCAATATATCTAAAGCTTGAGTTGAAGGCGACGGCTGGAGTATCATTTATTTCTTGCAAAAGTTTTTGAATATATTCTGCTTTATATTAATGCAAACATACGTCTAATATATAATAATGGGATTAAATGGTAACCATTAGAATTTAGTTTTGGAAAACTTGAATTTCTAATCTATGTAGATATTGTCTACCAGAAAACCAAGCATCTTTTAAAATCATCCTTTATGTGTTCAAGATTCAAAAAAATGGCAGTGATACATATTTTCTAAGAGTTGTTATAAAAATCAATGTCCCCGATAAGTATTTGTTTAATAAGGAAGTTTGATTAAAAAAAATAATTTCTGTGAGTCAGAAAATTATAATTATTTGTGTGTTCATAACATACTTTTTCTTATGCTTTGTCTGCAAATACCTTGTGTGCCATATTCTTTATGTTTTAAAAAAAACCCACTGAGACAAACGTGTACTCGCACAAAATGCCAAGTTGATGATACTGTCTGATAAAGTAAATATTACATGTATAATGTCTTACTTAACAAATACCCCTGTTATGTTCAATACTTCTTTAAAATGTCAAGTACCAGAATCCTATAAAACTATATATATACAGAGTTGATGCTTTGGACTTATATACGTAGATGACAACTATTCACATAAAATAAAACATAACTTCCTTATCAAATTTAACTCTGTTTCCCTAATCATCATGTGTTTATATAGTTTTATTCCTCAACACTTTATAGGACGACATTCGAGGGGGTTTCAACATGAAATGTGGATTTTGGATTATATTCTTCTTTCTACAAGTCGGTATGCATTCAAAATTATTTCTTCATTTCAAAATTAAGATTATTTTTTAAAATGTTCTACACAGCCAATGGCTCTCTGTTTTGTTAGCGTCATGTGGCAATGTCCAGATGTTGGTGACTCCGCACCCGATGACCTGGCATATAGCAGATACGAGTTGTACAGAGGTGTTTAAGGGTGATGGATACAGACATTTGGCAGCTGATATACCAAATACCTTGGACTATAATCTATTGACGGTAAAGGACCATGAGAGTCTTTGGTTGGACGGCCTTATTTATGACTTGGGATGTCAAGGCAAGATTTAAAAGACTTATTTAAATATTAATGTGTTCTATGTGATTTTTTATCAATGCATCCGAATAAGAGATCGAAGATCCCCTGCCTCTCAGAATCACACTTCATCTTCAGGATTCTGTATATATTTTTGATATCTTTATATATATCGACGACGTATTGTCAATTAACAATGGTTACTTTCATTCTTATTTCGATAATACATGTATATCCCGATGAGCTTGAGGTAAAAGATACCACAGAGTCTGACACATCGATCTGTTCCATATTTGGATATTTTACTTGAAAAAGGTGTTAATGGTAATCTAACAACCAAGCACTATGATACACGTGCTGACTTTCACTTTTCAATCGTCAACTTCCCTTACTTATGCAGCATTATACCTTCACCTGCATACGGGGTTTATATCTCTCAGATACGCAAAAGACACAAACTGAAACGAGGTAAATTATTGACAAACAAGTTGATGAGACGAGGATATCAGCAGTCTCGTTTAAAGTCATCAATTCGTAAGTTCTATGGTCGATACAATGACCTTGTTTACAAATTCATTTTATCATTAAGTCAAATGATGACTGACATTTTTCATTCTAATTGTTAGTCCCTTATTTACACACAGAAATACGACGGATTTTCCCGTTATTTCCCAACTGTGACAAGGAACCCACTACGGGTGTGACCGGTGAGCAGGGGATGCTCACTATTCCATGGCACCTGATCCCACCTTTGATGTTTTTGAGTTTCGTGTTTGCTCTGCTCATATTTTGTTTTGTTTTATGGACTTTTGAGCTCGAATACTGTTCGTTATCTCCATTTATTTCATTTTTATATATAGGCTTTTAAGATTCCTTTCGTAGAATGCATATATATTGTAATACACCATTTCTTAATATCGCCCTACCACCTTTTCCAGCTAAAGAGGTGGGTTGCTTCATACATTACATACACCAGATTAATCTTTAAGTCATGAATTTAATTGTCTTGTTTTCTTATTTAGGTGATGCTTGTTCTTATGTGATAGAAAGACACAGACGTTATAACAGTCATCGACATCTCCTCAGTCTGTGTCAGGAAGGTGAGAAACTTGACCATTTACATTTGTCATTCTATATAATTTAAAAAATAAAAGCCTCAAAATTATAATATCTTTTACACTCTGATTTTTTTTTAGCATTAAAAAGGTTAAAATAACTATTATTTTTTGGCAATGAATCAAAAACAGACTTTTGACATAATAGACAACTGCTTCCTCACTAAAAATGTGAGAATCTCTTAAATCTTCCCCTCTCGAGATCTGTCAGATGGGTCATAAACAAAATAAATTCTGTTAAAATTAAATATGGAGATAAATAATTCTGATTCTACAAACAAGCACATATATCGGTATTTTGAAGGTGTAGGAGTTCCTCACTGAAAATATCAATGGTTTTTGGAGATAAGGTTTTCTGAAATTTTGGAATACCGATGGCAATTAATCGTGCTCCCTTATAAGCTGAAATACTTTTTTTATATGTCAACTTTTTTTCAAAGAGGAATTCATTTAAAAATTTCTTTAAATAGCTTTCAGTGCAACATGTCAATTTATGAAGACAAACAACACAGTTTTGGAGTTTTTATTATATAATCCCTATATAATATAAGTTAAGAATTCCAATAAATAAAGATCATTTGTGCGAATCTCTAATGCCTAATGAAACTGTGTGCCATTTTAGAATTCAATTTTGAGGAATTACCATCAGACATTAAATCTTTGTTGTTGTTTGATTATCACTTAGTATTGGGTCTTCTGGTTAACGATATGTTCCACAACAATAGTAAGGCCATTGGTTTCATACCAATTTCGCTATAGATTACTCGGTTTTCTTGACCAAAACAGAGGGCTTTAGGCGCTTGTAACGAATTGACGACGGATTTTTCCGTTATTTCCTCGATCATGACAATGAGCACGCGGCAGATGTGACCGGTTGGAAGGGGATGCTCATTCCTCCATAGCACCTGGTCTGGGGGCCATAAAACTTGATCTCAGTCTCACTTTTCCACTATATATTCCTTTGAAAAAAAGTGAGACTGAGATCAAAAGTGAGCTCGTCTAAGTTTTATGGCCCCCAGGCCTGATCCCACCTCTGATGTTTTGGAGGTCCGAGTTTGCTCTGCTCCTATTTTGTATTGTTTTATGGACTTTTGAGCTTGATTATTGTTCGTTATCTTCGTATGTTTCATCATAATGGATCGTAATCATCACCTTTTACATAATTTATATAAGAAATCTGATAAAATGTAAACTGAAGAAAAGAAGTATCCATGTCTTTTATATTCTAATTTTTTACAGCACATGGTATGGGTGTAAAACACTGGCGTTTATGCAATAGCATCTCTAACATTACTTCAGCGTATATGATCTCAAAAATTCGAAGTGAAATCGCAGGATTTGCTAGAGGAGAAGAATACATTATCAACAAAATTGCATTAGCAGGTAGTAAATTCATTAAGTCTTAGGCCCAAGACACAAGAGAGAGTAAAGAAACCTCCCGCAACCGCCAGTTGCTCGACTATTTACCTAAATATTGAAAGAATAATAATTATATAATGTTTTCTTCGTTATTTTTTATTTATTTTTTTTGTAATAAGAAAAGACACATTGAATTAAAATATATGCCGTATTATTGTCCATATCAGTTATTACAGATTCTATAAGCATTATGCAGATATCAACAAAGTGATTGTCAGATTTCGAACTTTTCGATTTTTTGAGGAACATGTTTTATTTGATTTTGTTCAATTGATTTGAAATACTTATTTCTTAAGGAACTACACAAACTAAATGTCAGATGGTGCGAAAAGCTGGAAACAGATTTCAGAAAATGGAAACAAGTTGCAACGAATTTCACAAGGCCCTTTGCGAGCATAGTAAGATGATCTGAATTTAAGAATGTATTTTATTATATTTATTTCATCTCTTTATTTGCACAAGTAGTTATTTCATTTTGTTCTAATTGTAGTATGAGTAAGAAAGGCAAACAACAACCAACACCCCCCTTTCTAAAAAATAAAAGAAGAACCCCACAAACAAACATACACGATACAAAAATTAATATAAAAAAAGCACAAAAGCCAGGCTCTTAATTTTTAAGAATTTTTACACATGTACTGTTGTCAGATAAAAAGCAATATATAAGTATAACAGAGAGCGGTCTAGAATCTAGAAACATCGACAATCCGGATAATTGTTTCAGAAAAAGTAATTAATACCTGAATCACATTTATCATAGAAGTTAGTTCTAGAAATATTTTTAAATTCAGGTAGAAACTTTAATAAATTAGTAATAAATTCTGGGGAATATTTTGAAAGGGGAAAAGACATGCTTTCCATTTGATTATGCTAAACCATTATGTAGATAATTTTTTATATTCAGAAAGGTTATACACTGAATTTTGAATGTTAATAGATACAGAAGATTCAAATATGGTGACGACCATACAATATGGTCAAGAAAAGAAGGCGTCACGAACCATCTTTATACCACATCCCATTGATTCTGAGAGCAAACCTATGACGGACGAAAAAGAAGGTACGAGATGAACCATATAGGAAGAAAACATTGTATCTTAAGTCTCCAAAACGCAAAATATATATTTAATGGTAAACGTCAACAAACCACTTACATTTCAATCATAACTCCTGAAATAATGTTTTTTTTATCCTTTCTCACCAGAAACAGGAGTATCTGAGGAGATAATTTGGACGATTGTCTCGGTAACTGTGGCCTTATTGTCGCTGTCCCTATGTATAGGGGGACTCATTTACTGCAGGAGGTAAATTTACTTTGTAAAATTCTAGGTATATTTAACATATATCAGTAAAGGTAATATATAAATATGAAATAGGTGCTATATATACCATTTTGATGAAACGTCCAAATTCTTCCTAGCATATTTACAAGTGAGCATAACTGATACGCGTGAAATATGGTGATATAAAATCATACGTTGACCAAATTTCTTTTGCTAACAGAAATAAGATCAAGCTGAACAGTGTTTATGACACTGTATTCAGGCGTCCACGGGGTGGAAATCATTACACTCTCAGAGTTCCAAACGATCCATCCTCACCTGTATCTGAGCCAACCAATCATCGTCTTCCTCCGGCAGCGCCACCTATCAGAAACCCCACAGCAGCTGCACCCATTATCAGAAATCCCACAGCTCCACCAAGAGTCGACAGTGTCCAGACACTGGCGTCATCTACTGCATCATCAGCAGATACAACTTCGTCGTACGTAGATGATGTTCGTTATTACAGGAATTTTTCATATGAGACTCAACCAAGTGTAGCCCCGTCACAGGCTCCTAGGATTGAAATTCAACCAAGTACACCAGCTGCTTCAACATCCGGTTCAACATCTGGACGACTTTACTGTTCATCTTGCAGAAGACACAGAAAAAGGCGGGATTTTCTACGAACGTCCTCAAACTGCACGAGTTGTTCCTCAGTGCACTCTGCATACACACAACCTTCATCAAGGTTAGCAGAGAGAAATATTTCACTTGATACAAATGATACGGCGTCCGTAAGATCACAAAGATCATCAACGGATACAAATGAAACAAACTCTATGAGGTCGCATCGATCACATCGTTTTCGAAAACTTAGTCATCGCGGGTTGTCAAAGAAATCTAATAACAAGTCGGTCGCAACTGATATACAGACTGGTCAGACAGAATCTCCGGATATTTCTACTCAGTGTCAGCTGGAAATCAGAGGATCCAACCCAGTCCTCAGAAAACATAAATTAGGTGATCAGTCCGGTATATCAAACAACTATTAATATTAAAAACGATGTTTTAGTTAAGATAATAATGGTGTATCATTTCTATAACTAATTATGTTTATCTTTTTTGCAGTGGATCGTATACAATCGTCAAGTGGTTTCCAGTTGGTTAAAAGGATGTTTTCCATTGATTTGAAGTGAAAACAGTAGAGAAGATACTGTTGTGTGTACTTTTTAGACTTAAGTGTTATTGTACAAGAGTAATTTAACTTAAAAGGAATTTCTTTCTTTGTTTAACATGGGAGAATGGTAGCAGAGAAAATACATAGCCCGCGTTTAAGCTGGTTTAGTAATATTTCTTCTGCAATTTTACTGTTTATATTTAAACCTGTATATATCATGTATATTATTGATATAAAAAGTGTAAAAACTAAAGAAAATATTGTATTTTTTATGCATAGTATCATTGAAATATAGTCACAGTTTTAAAAAACTGTACTTTTGTGATTACATATGGCTTTTAAAAACATAGATAAGAACGTAATGACAATACCCATCAACAGTACACGCTGCAATTAGTGAAGGTATAGAGACTTTGTACATCGTTACCAACGCACCAACAATAGAGGAAATGAAACATGCCATCAAACTTCTACAGAATGGGAAAGCCCCATGCAGAGATTGATCAGGTACATGCAGAAATGGTAAAAGCTGAGGAAGTATTAACGCCCAGACTTCTCACGGATATCATGCAATCTATTTGGTAGACAGAAACAGCACCAGAGGATTGGAAGGTTGGTCTCATAGTGAAGCTGCCCAAGAAAGGTGACTTAGCTGACACAAATAATTGAAGAGGAACCATGTTGCTGTCAGTTACCAGCAAAATCATAGGCACAGTCATCCTAAATAGAATGGCCTCAGTGGGAGACCCGTGCCTTCTTACCGAGCAAGCTGGATTTAGAAAAGGAAATTATGCACAGACAAGATGTTTTTCTTGAGGCAAATTTTAGAACAGAGCAATGATTGGAGCGCTACGCTGTATACAAATCTCATCGATTTTGCCAAAGCATTTGACAGTATACATCGTTCTGCTTTATGTTATGGATGATCCGTAGAAATTATGGCATCTCTAACAAGATCATATCCATCATTCAGATGCTACACAAGGACTTCCAGGCAAACGTGATCTGCAGCAACTAAGAGACTGCTTCCAATCCAAGCGGGGGTACGACAGGGATGTCTGCTGTCACCACTGATCTTTACTTTTTGCATAGGTTATGGAATTCACTACCAGTCAGGCCAGTAGAGGAATATTCTGGACATTTAAACAATCACTAGAAGATTTTGACTTAACAGATGACATGCTTTACTAACACAACGATATATGGATATTCAAAGAAAAACTGATGACCTGATAAAGTGTAGCAGACAAATTGGACTAAATATAAATCCAAACAAAACAAAGCTAATGAATATAAATACAAAGATAGATAAGGAAGTTACAGCAAACAAAAAACTGAATGTGAAAGTAGTCAATTTAAAATATCATGGCAGCCAGAAGAGATTCCACGATGGACATTGAAAATAGAATTGCAAAAGCCCATGTCACCTTTGCCAACCTGCGGAACATCTGGAAATCTTTAATTGTCGGAACTAAAACCAAAATAAGGATATTCAAAACAAATGTCACTTGAGTCCTCCTTTATGGATCTTAGTCATGGAAGGTGACAAACAACATCACTCAAAAACTAGATACCTTCCAAACAAGATGAATCCGTAGAATACTCAAGATATTCTGGCCGAACAAGATCACCAATGAGGAGCTGTATGAAAGAACGCACACAGTTGTCATATCTGACCAGATTAAATAGAAATGATGGAAATGGATTGGCCATGTCATGAGAATTAAACTATCAAATATACAAAGGGTAGCCTTAAGATGAAAATGGTTTATTAATATATTAACTAAATGTTGAATTGAAGGGCCAGTAAGAGACTTCTTCTTTTCATAGAGAAGTTTTTTTTGTGTGTAAATTCTGCTTCATATGAATAACATTTGTGTATCCCTTTTAACTCGAAATGAAAGACACTACAAAGTCTGACACATCTGTTTCATATTTGGATATTTCACTACCAAAAAACGTTAATGGTAACTGAAGAAAAAAAATGTGATGACCTCAACTTCTCCATCGTCAACTTCCATTATTTATATGGCAATATATCATTATTACCTGCTTAAGGAGTTTATGTCTCTCAGTTAATTCGATACGCAAGAGCAGAGGGAAGCTATTGATAATAAAATGGATGATACAGTGATATCAACAGCCTCCTTTAAAGTCAATATTTCGCATATTCTATCGTCAAATACAATCTGTTGTTAAGTCGAATATTAACTGCATGGAGTTCTTTTTCAAATTGTTAGGCCATTATTTTTATTTTACATTTTAATTGTCTACTATTTTCCCTTTTCTCAGATCATGACACGTAACAAACAGCGGATGTGACCGGTCCATAGGGGATGTTTACTCCTCCGTGGCACGTAAACCCACCTTTAATGTTTTCATGGTTTATTTAGAAAATTGATCACTTTCATTTGTGAAAAAAAATTGCATAAATAAAAGACAGAGGCAATACTAGTATTTCACCAAAATAAAACTTTAAAAGTTTTGCTTTGGGTATATACTAGTATAAGTAAAAACAAATAGCAAAAAAGGAAGTGATCAATTAATTTTAAAGGCTTCAAGTAATAATTCACCATGTGTTTGTTCATGAAAGTGAACTTAATTATTTCACCATGAAGGCTGAGTAAATATTATATGTTGTATATAAACCAATACCATTAACTTGGACTTAAAAAAAATAGCATGTAAAAAAAGAGTAACATTTAAAATACTAATATCCATATATATGAAGTGTTCGAGATCTCAAACTATTACAGACGGTTGACCAGCTTTGCATTTGCCTGATATTTGACATTCGCTATTCACAACAGCCGCAGATTTGTAACTCATTGGTCCAGGGGATGACCATCCCAATTTGTTAAATCAGTGAACTGCTTATCAGAAACCATATTCAAGCTATGGCTATAATTCTCTTGAATGCTGAAAGTAAAATGATGACAAAAGCAACAAAACCCGTTTCTACTTCCATTTATTACAACAATGTTGACATTTTCGTCTTATGTCACAAAATCTACATAAACAAAAACAAAGCATACTAATATATAAATGTATATAAAAAGTCATCTAACAATAAACAAAATTAATATGGACTAAGAATTTATAAAATCAAAATTATTTCAGTGTAAATGACTGAAATATGAACAAATATTTCCTAATTCATGATATTTTTATGATCAATGTAAAAATAGGTCTGACAGAATGTGTTCATGCAGGTTGTTTACATGCACATTTTGATATAATTTTCTTGGAAGAAATTGTATAATAATTGAAGAGACAAATTTTTACAGATTTCCACTAAACAGAGATCTTGCTATGTAAAGGTACCCTAACCCAGATATATATATAACTCCATGTTAGCTACGTATCACAGATGCGCTTAATCATACATAGATGTTTAAAATATCTCCCATCCTTCTCATACACACAAAAACATCATAATTTATTAATAATTCTAGTGGACTAGCAAAAGGAACCAGTTACAATATTGAAGTCCTTATGTAGAGTTAAGCCTTGCAGCATAACTGCTGAATTGTAACTATTCAAATAATTCAAAAACTAAAATAATATAAATAGTCCTCTAAATCAAACACTACTTTTTTCAAACATATATTTTACATTTAAGCAGTGTTAAAATACAGTTAATTAAACATAATGCCATACATTTTAAATCATTCAAATTAAAACATTAACTATTGACAAAATCTAGAGAAAAAAACCCTGAATTCTCTATCACAGAATCACATTCATACATTCTATTAGACAAACTTTTTATGCAGTGTATTCTCCCAACGGGTTATTATTGTGTAAGACTCAATGGTCCTTTTTCATTTTATACCATCAAATGGTATATTAAACTCACTATAAAAGCATGGACCAATAGTATAAATAGTAAAGCACTCTCTAAAAAGGAATCTATGCCTATTCTCTCAGCTTTAAATGCACATCTGGAGTAATTGCCAATATTGTGTCCAATTGTTAAACACTAAGACTCTATGATCTCCTGTTCTCTTTTATCCTCTAGTCCCTGAAAAATAAAACAAAATCCCCATTACATGCTAACAGAATAAAAGAGTTTCATTGATTTTCTTGGATGACAAAATATGAAACTTTTTTGTAACCTATTAAAGCTGGTAGTTGTAAATATACTTACTATACTGTGCTCTAGTGTATACAGTCTGTTTTCTGTGTCATACAATGCCTGCTCCTTGCTGCACAGTTCTTTCTTCAGTGTGTTGATTTCATAATTCCTCCTTTTCAGTGCTTCCTTACTAGCTTTCCTACGAGCTGAATTCTGAAAAATCAAAAAAAAAAATAATTCTAATATAATAAATTGAAGAACTAGCTGGCACCTGGAAAAAAGTTCCAGTATTACATGACCTACACAAAAGAATAAGACATCTTTGGGTAATCTGTTTAGAACATAAGACAAATTTATGCTGCACTATTAGTAAAACCACTAGTATGTTAAATTATTTGTTTTGATTTAAGCTAACCTTTCCAAAAATGTCCTCCTCCTTACAATGATGAGAAGCTGGGACTTGCTGCTGGTGAATTCTCTCATTCTCCAAATGGAAAGTCTAAAAATAAAACATCACATTGAAAAATGTTCTTATCAATTATTTTTACAGAATTTCTACTTTAAATGGTCAATAGTCCATATTTCAGGTGAAATACAGTAGTATTTGTACCTTGCGTTGTTTAATTGCTTTATTGAGCCGTTTCTCCTGGTCGAGGCGATCTCTCGTCCGACTCAGTGACTCTCTCAGATACTGAGTTTCCTCTGTCCTGCTCTTTACATCATTCTGTAAATTAAAAGCCAGGTATACTAAAGCTGTTTATGAATCAAATTTGTTTATTAATTCTTGAACAAGTGGATGAAGTTTTAAAAGAAAGCTCTCATTTTGCATTATAAATACTTTCCCCAATACAGTTTAAATGGTGCTAAACCTCTCTAATCATTATATTTTTGTAAAAGTTCTTTTAACTTAATATAAACTTATGTCATATCATGAGATTAGTGCTTAAGTTCTATTTATAACTCCTTACAGCAAGATTATCCACTTGTTTAGAGTTTCTGTTGGCTAGTTCCTGGGCTTGTCTGAAATAAAAGGAAGGAAGGAGTTACGGCATTTCCTGTCTACAATCATATGTCTAAAATCAATCACATTAAAAGTTCAAGTTCCCACTC